TAGAGTTTTGACAAATAGTGCTGATTTGGCTTTCACATTTTGTTTGTCCACATACTCCCAAAAGAAACTAGGGAAGGGATGGCTTAGCTTGAAGATTCAAATGAGTGGTACTCCTCCTTTTAAGCTATATGTATGCATCTATATATTCAACGTGGAAACTCTGCAAGGCGAGGATATACAACCATCATTGATTTTTCTTTTAGTGACAGGTGGCACATGGTGCAAGTACCCTTTACTTTGTAGAAGATATCCTAGCATATCTTAGAACTACGGAATCCTAAGAACTTCACCAATATAATAAGCCCACGAACCTTTATAGGTTTTCTCAACTTCTGGGAATCATGTGACATACTAAGGCATCCAGTATACTTGTTCTTCAGTTGCAGCACACATCATTTCACCCAAATAGTGGGGCCAGTGTGCTTTTCTATGAATTGTCTAGATTAGCACTTATAGTAACTATATTACCAAAAAAAGAAGCAGGTAAAATTAATTTGAATAATATATTTTATTTAACCCAATCTATCCAAAATGATAACATTTAACATGCTAGCAATATGAAAAGCTATAACAGAAGGCATAATTGATGTTTCTTTTTCTCTCACTCTGGGTCTGAAGAATAAGCTCTGGATGAGGTTTGACATCCTGTCTCAATCACTTACTCCTTTGCAGAGAAGTCAAAGCTGAATATATAAGGAGATGGCCAGTTCTTTTCTCTTAAGAAAAGACCCTGATAAAGGGATGGAGAGAGAAGCCCTAGACACTGTCATAGAAGTTTCCTTTGCTACGTTCTGGGGTAAAACATAAGTGAAAAGCATGCATATCCCAGCATCTCCAATGACACCCACATTGACCTAGGCTACCTAGAGTGCTAGCTATAATTTCAACCCTTTTCCTCCTGTGTTAAGAAAGCCTAGCCAAAATCAGGAGAGCAAGCATGACATCATTACAGGAATAATCTAAAACCAATTTGACTTGTAAAGAAGTAAAACTGTTTGCCAGCTTTAAGACTTTATTACATGTCAGGACATGTTGGTTTTTCCGAAGACCTAAGTTTATGGCAACAGGCATTTACAGCACAGCTGTAAAGGACGTTAGAAATTATCTATTTTGATTCCCTTCATTTTTCAGATGACCTCCCAGGTAAGCCTTGGAAATCTCTGGATTGGCAACTCTTTTTATGTTTCTTGTTCAGTAGTTGCCTCTGTTTGCTCAGCATTTATTTTTATGTTTTACAAAAGGATGTGGATTATGTTATGTTATAATTGAAAGCCACCAGCATAAGCATCCTAAATCCAATTCCTCTTCATTTCAGTCAAATTTCACATTTCATTACGACAGAATTAATTTGATGGCCAAATCTGGTATGTTACTGCTTTCCAGCTAGATTTGCTTCCAATTTAACATCCTAACTGTGCTTGTAAAATAGACAATAAAACAATCTTTTCTGATTTGGGAAATATTCTTTATTCTTCATTTCTCTCTGCTTCACTGTAACATTTTAGCTGAGTTTTATGGAACAATCATTTTCCTCATCTAATTACTGCAATTCCCTGGTAGATGGCCTCCCTTGCCCTGCAATAGCAAAATTATCATAAATACACAATTCCACTGCCAGCATCTCATCTAGCACATGCGTCAGTGAGCAGAGCTAGGTTTTTCCCCTTTCTAAATTGTGCTCTTGCTGTATTGACAATTTTAATATGAACCAATCAAGTCTTTCTCTGACATTCCAACAAATTCCTGAGAAAGTTAATCTTGCCTCATAGGCACTCTTCAGGTTCAGCTCCTAGTGTTTACACATAACTGTGCATGCAGATAAAAACTGAGACTGAAGTCTCCTGGTTGAATCCTTAGACACCAGGACTCTCTTCCAACATGGACAAGTGGAGAACAACTCTCCAGAAAAGACCATAGCAATAAATCATAGGTGTAGCAGTACCACATTCATGGAAGATCAACTGAAAATCCTTATTCAACCAAAACGCTTACCCAGGTTTTGCTACCAAATGTAAACTTGCTTTATAAATCAGTACTGAAGAGTCTAGAATCCAGATTTGATTTTAGATTAAAAAATCAGGCACTGATTCCAGAAAAGGTCAGAACTCAAGGAAGCTTCAGAATCAAGCCAAGGCCAAGGAAATCCTGAAGAAAAGATTCCAAGTAAAGAAGCCAGAGAGTGTCCTACCTCTTACACCTCTTTCCAATCACACACCATCATCAAGATATTTTTGAATAAACCTAACCCAAGGATTGACTCTAGAGAACAACCTGTACAAGAATTTGGAGTTCTAGATTCAAGAGTCCAAATTTGGTTTCAAAATAAAAAATCTGTATTTCATGTCCAGACAAAAAGATAATCTCATAAGACCTTAAAACAAAGACAAGGCTGGTGTCAAGATCTGTGAGATAAGAGAGTTCAAGATATAGAAGCGACATAAGATGGCACCAGCCTCACTAGGAACTATCTTATTTCTCTGGAGCCAGAGCAAGGTGGAAACTGAGACAAATTCAGTGTATATCATCTCACTCTCTCTCTTCCTAGGAATGTACCTTTTGCTGGTATTAAATATACATTTCATATACCAGATGAGAAATCAAGTCATGAGGAGTAAGCCTTTGAGTCTCAAATGACCACTTGAAAATGAACTTTTGCAATCTAACCTATTTGTACTGAGTAGATATGTCTTCTATAGAGACACATACACATGTATATATACACACAGAGGGAATTTTAAATCCTGATGGGTTTGGCTAAGAATGTACTTTGCAATGAATTCTTTGAAATTTTCTTTATAGTTATGTCTGTATTAAACATGAGGAAAAGAACCCTCTTTTATTAAAAAAAAGTATGAAAATATTTTCTATAGAACACTTGCTCATCTGCATCAGAAGTATATCATTTCCCCAGCTGCTATTAGTTTATATTGAATGCATATTCAGATGGGCTTCCACATACTTAGAGTCATCTTTTTTTTCTTCAATACACATTGAGCCATGTTTAAAACAGGATTAGTTTTCAGCTTAACTGAATACTGCATTTTGATAAGTTCAAGTGAATGACTAGTTCAAGTATATTCAAAATACATTATTTATAAAACCGGGTGATTTTTCTGAATCCTTTATGTTTGTTTTCTCTCTTTTTGTTCTTTACTATATATCTTGCATGATAAACAGAAAGAATTTCTATAAGGATTGAAAAATGTTGATTTCAAGTTATTGGGCCTGAACTGAAATTAATAGTTTCACTATCTTTTATATTTTGAACATCTCCTATGTTATTAGTAATTATTTATTAATTAGTTTAACCTTAAATGATCCTGATAAAGTAGGCATGATTATCTCTTATTTTAAACTAGGTTCTTCAGAAAATTTATTGTGATGAGAGAAATAAATATATAAATAAATAAATATTGATATTCATAATTTCTTCCCCTTCTTTTCCTAAGGAATATTTGATCTTTGTTTTTTTGAGTACTAGACCTTGTCATACTTATTAAAAGACCTTGTCATACTTATGAAAAAGAATTGAGAGGGACAAAAATAGACTTTATTGATTGCTAATTGAATATAAATGTTATTAATGTAGAACAGAAAGAAGAGAGGCCTAAAATTAGAAAGGGAGTAAGGGAAGCACATAAAATAAGTCAAGGTACCATGAAGGGAAATTTTAAAGATTTTTGGTAGGAACAGAAGGAGAAAGGGAGGAAAAGGGAGGGAGGGAGGGAGGGAGGAAGAGAGAGAGAGATTGTGTTTAGGGATACCTACTATCATAACCTCATAAATATCATTGGACACTATATTAATTTTTAGTGCTGCTGTAACAAATTACCACAAACTTAGTGGCTTAAAAATAATACAAATTTATTATCGCACAGTTCTGGGAATCTAAAATCAGTCTTACTGTGTTAAAGTCAAGATACTAGCAGTGCTACCTTCCTCCTGGAGGCTCTAGGAGAATACCCATATCCTTGCCTTTTCTAGCTTCTAGAGATATCCTACATTCCTTGGCTCATAGTACCTTACATCTTCAAAGCCAGCAATGGGTGATGGAGTCTCAAGTTGAATCACTTTGATATTGGTTCTCCTGCCTCCTCCTTTACATTTAAGGACCCTGTAATCCAGGATAACCTCATTGTTTTAAAGTCATCAGATAACATTCTTAACTTCACTTGGAACCTTGATTCTTATTTGCCATGTCACATAACATATTCTCAGGTTTTGGGAATTAGGATATGAACATCTTTGGGGCCATTATCTTGTCTATGACAAGCACAAAACCTATATCCTACATTTTACGCGGTACATAACCGTGCCTTGAAAAATGAAATGACTTCCCCAAGGTAAACATACTATAATAAGTGCTGTTGCAAAAATATTCAGCCACATGACTCATAAAAATATCTAGAATTTTAATTATTTTTGGTGGCTCTATTTTGCCCATAAATAACAGTTGTGCTTTTATAATCAATGATGAGCATGTATGTTGCTAATGACTTTTGATTATAAATGTCTGTGATATTTGTGTACTTTTTTTGTGGAAATTTATTTTTTCTAGTAGAGTTATAATGAGAAACAAGTGATTGAACATAGCTTTCATGCACTGTGTTGGACTATAGGTATTAGTTTCATGTCCTAAATTGAGGACTGGACTTTTTGAGGACAGGGGTCCTTCCCTTATTGATCTTATACACACATCCTATTTTATAATGCTTATTATAATTTTTACAGGTAATTGGTTAATACTGTTTATATGGATGGATGAATGTGGGACATAAGGAATGAGGCAGTAATAAAATCCCTGGATGAGGAATAAATAGATCTTACTTGTTCCTACTCCAAATTTCGCCATAGATTTTTCATGTTGTCTTTCAATAACCTATGTGAAATGATGTGGCACCACTGGATCCATTTCAAGTTTTTTTTCCCCCTAGTTCTTGAGTTCTGTGATTAAAAAGGTGTTGGAAGTACTTTTTTTTTTGTTTTTTTTATCTTTCAAGGTGTTGTCTAAATGCCATCTATGGGAATGCGATTTTAGTTTTACTGGGAAGCAAGATCATCAACATCACATCTTCCATGAGAAGCAAAGCTAAGTCAGCCAGTGGGAGGAAGAACATCTGTCCAGCACTTGAGACCAGAGAACCAGAAAGAACACGGGGAAGGAAGAAGAGGTGAGTTTTAGTATTTGGTTTTTTTCTGCTGCAGTGAAGAATGTGATGGTTAAGGGTGTTTTAATTGCTTACATTTTTGTTTGAGAAACAGTTTGAAAATAAGGATGATATTGTACACATTACCCTCACTCTGGGGGCTTGGTATATACCCATTTAATTCTGCGTCCTGGTACATATGGAAACTGGCTTAATAAAAGTTGCACCTGATAATGTGGCTTGAGGCAAAGATCTCAGCACAAGAGTATACTGGAGTGTTGTTAAGAAGTAGCTTGTCTTAATGGATCAAATGTTTGATTATCTTGGATGTTCCATTTCTGGTATTGGAAACTTCTTTCCACCTCCTACTCGATGTCTACATATGCGCACACATACTCAAATGCATATACTTGTGGCTCACAGACATACACACACACACACCTGCACCCCATAGAAGTAAAACAAGATGAAAATGAATGAACATCTGTTTTAACAAGCTGAGGGAAAAATGAGGTCAAATTCTGGACAGGAAGGATGAACATATGTAGTGGTCCCAAGGGCTACGTCTATGAATCTATACGTATCCAGTTGCTCTGAATTTCCAAACTCATCATTTCCTATACACTCTTTATACTTTGGCAATCACATCTGAAACCTGAAACAAACGCTGTTTTACGACTCTTTTTTTCTAGGATTACTGTGAGATTGTCCGACTAGCAATGTTTACTAATGGTTACTGTTGCCTGCCATTTTCATGATCTGGAATAAAGTGCTGAGTTCACACTTATTTTGTGCAAGCAGGTCTGTCCATTTGTTCATACATTCATCGCCAAAAAAAAAAAAAAATCTGTTTGAGCAAAGGGCTTGTTTTTGTAGATGACTATTTTCTCCTCTTTTGTGTATATTCCTTATTTTACTTTTGTTATTGTTTTCATCTTTTCCCCATGCAGTGTTAATAAGAGGGGCTTACTGTCCTTAATTGTAAGGAAAGTAAGATGTGTCCTTTCATTGCCATTAATAGCAACTGAACCTTGTCACTTGTCATAACCCTGGTCTGTGTGCTCAACACAGAGAGAGCCTGGCTTATCAGGACAGGCCTCCAGGCATCATCCTAAGTATATAAGGAATCAAGGGCTCACTGGGTCCCAATCATTATAAAGATATTTCCCTGCAAGTTTTGAGCTGGAAGGGCTGGTTGTTCGTATGCTGGTGTCCTCAGGCTTCTTAGCTACAGGGTCAGAATTAACAATGCCCAGAATTGCCACTCTCTGAGTGTGTCCCAAGTGGCTTGTTTCCCTGACTGTAAATTGCCCATCATTCTCTTTTGTGTGCAGAGACCTTTGGAAATATTGAGATTCAGTGTGTGCACTGAAGCTTGAGCTAGAAAATGAGAAATAATGACAAACTGAAAAAAGTCCTCATGATTATCTTAACAAAATATCCTCTGGTTTCTTTCCATAGCATCTTTATGCACATTAGCCTTTCCATTCTAAATCTGAAACTTTTCTCTAATTATTACAGCTTAAGTTCACAAAGAAGCAAGGGCTTCAAAGTGCCATACTCATTACTGCCACTGTGCTTTCATGGATATCTTTTTCTTGGTCTTTTCTTGTCTTACCCATCTTTGAAGCCCCAGCCCCTGTCTGAAGCCTTCTCCAGTCCATCAAATTAAGGCAAGGCACCCAGTTACATATGCTACCAAGTTACCCTGTGTCCCTTATTTCTATTCTTCAACCTTTTCCCATTCAAGCTTGCATCATTTGGGCTAGTTAATTACACGTGCCTCTCATCTTGCTGGAGAACCTCAAGTTTGCAGACTATGACTTATTCATCTAAATGTAGAAGGATATGATTTTCTGTTTTCTTCCCTGACTCGGTTCTTGCCCATCCTTGTTCCTCCTGGGAAAGGTGATTTTAGGAGAATATTGACTATTCAAGATTTCTGCATAGAATGATTCTATTACAAGGTGGAGGTTTAAAGATGTGCTTCAATAAAGATTATTGCCATCCAAAATAGGGCCAGGATGAATCCTAACAATCTCAACTATAAATAATAGCTTCAACGTTAAATTGGGATCTTTGAGGGAGTAAGGAGAAGTAGAAACTGAAAGAAGCAAAGGGAACAAGGAAAACAGAGAAGGATTGAAAATGGTTATAGCTAAAAGGACTGAATGGAAACTCAGTGAGCTCAATAAATAATATCAGCAGCCTCATTTGGGGTCTTGTTCCATGAGATTATATCCTGTCTTGTTATGGGTTATATCTATAGACCCTTTGAAAATATTATAAGACAAAAATCAGGATTTTATAGATAGATAGGGATAGCGGGCCAGAGAGACAGACAGATAGATGCTGTAGGTGCTTTGTACCTAACAGTTGTCCAATATAAATATTTGACAAATTCAATAGCTTTAAATTCCTGAAAAAACATTACAAACATCATTTCATCCTGAGTTCATCCTCAGTCAAGCGAGCATTACAAAGAGTGGCTTAGTGTAATCCTTCGCTCCAGATCAGCAGAGTCATTAGCTCAGACATGTGGAAAAGAGTAAATACATGAGCTGCTAGACTGCAGCAAAAGCCTGCTTCTCTTGTTCCCGCTCTGTGGACCCTGGCACACCAACTCTCTGCCCAGAGCCCAGACCTGCGTTTAAGGGATGGCTTAACACAGCCGGTGCCGCAACACGATCAGACTTGCTTAGGGTCAAGGAAGACAGAGGTATCGGGCTTGCAGTAGGTGGAACATAACAAATACAACTTTATTTATTTGTTTGGAATGAAAATCACAACTGGAAAGTGACTCAGGATATACATTGTCATGGATGGGCTAACTGCCACAAACTTTTTTAGATAATACATTGATAATATTTGTTAAAATTACAAATGCATAAATTTTCGGCTAGCAGTTCTCCTTTTTGAAAGAACACATGCTACAGAATTAATAGCACCAATGCAATTGTGTGCACAAGGAATAGTATGTGTCTATTAAAAAGAATGGGGTAGATATTTACATAATAACCTGGATGATGTGCGTTATATTGAATGAAAATGCATACTGCTGAGATACACACAAACACACGCACACACACTGTCTCTCTCTCTGTCTCTCTCATGGACACAGACACATAGGCATACCTACAACAATTTTACCATTATCAAAAACTGCAATAATAATATAACTAACCATGCCTATTTTTATAAACATAGAGGAAGAAGTAGAAGGAATCTTCTAAAACCAGATTAGTTGTATCATCTCTGCAATTTATAAATATTAATAGGTAGTTCTTTCCAGTCCTAGAGAAAAAGAAACTGAATCTCAAAGTGGTTATGTACATTTTCCAAGGTAATAAAACTAGAAAGAATTGGAGGTGGGGCTAAAATACAGATAGATCTCTCTGGACTATGCTGCTTCCTACAAGTCGCACTTTTATTATGTATGTGCATGTCTGCATGTGTATATCCTGTAAATGTTTGTGAAATAATAAGATATATCATTTTATAGTTTGTAGAAAACAAGTTGTCTTTAGGATCAGAAAATTTGGACTTAAGTCCTTGCTATCTATAAAAAAAAATCTCTGATTTGAATTATTCACTTAAAGTCTCTGAGCCATTGTTTCCTCAACTTGGAAAAAGGAAATAATTCCAGCCCATATTTCCTTACAAGATTGTTGTGAGGGTTAAATGAAATAATATAGATAATACATATATATAAGTAGACTAGGTTATAACTTTCATAAAAGCAGGGGCTACCCATGTTTCTGTTATCATTGTATACCCAGCACACAGCATAGTGCTTGGAATATTCCTTTTTTCTTAAATTTAAATTTTATTGAGGTACAATTTCTATGTAATAAAATTCACAAATTTTAAGTGTAAAGCAAATGAATTTTTCCAAATGTATATATTTTATATCTCCTGCTCTACTAATACAGAGAACATTACTATTGTTCAAGAAAGTTAATTATCCCTGCTTGACATGGTAAATGCTGATTTGATTTTTATCACTAAAAAATAGTTTTCCCTATTCCAGAATTTTATATTTTATCTTTTGAAGAGCAAAATGTTTTAATTTTGACAAAGTTTAATTTGTATATTTTTAATTACTTTTTAGTGCTTTAAAATATTAATTTTCTGTGCTATTTTGTTCTAAGAAATATTTGCTTACCCCAAGTTAACAAAAATAGTCTCCTGTTTTCTTCTAGAAGTTTTAGAGTTTTAACTTTTACATTTTGGTCTGTGTTCCAAGTAAAAATTTTTTGCATTGTATAACATAAAAGTCACATTAGAGTATGTATGTGTGTGTGTGTATGTGTGTGTGTGTTTATGAATAACCAGTTGTTTCAGTACAATATTTAAGAAGTCTATTCCTTACCAATTATGTAATTTGATATCTTTGTCAAAAACCAATTGATCCAGAATAAGGAAAAGGCAAATCAAAACCATAATGAGATGCCCCTTCATATCCACTATGATGGCTATAATAAAAAAAAAAAGGTAGATAATTTAATTTTTGGTGAGGACATGGAGAAAATGGAATATTCATACACATTCATACACTATAATGTAAATGATGCAGCTGCTTTGCAAAACAACCTAGAAGGTCCTCAAAATATTTAACATAAATTTACCATATCACCGAATGAGAAAATTCCATTCTAGATATAGCCCCAAGAGAAATGAAAACATGTCTACAGGAAAACTTACCTGTAAAATGCATGTTCATAGCATTTGTATTCTCTCATCCAAGTACTAACCAGGTCCAACCCTGTTTAGCTTCCAAGATCAGACAAGATCAGGCACATTCAGGGTGGTCTGGCCATAGATAGCATTTGTATTCTCAATAACCAAGAAGTGGAAATGATCCAAATGTCCACCAGCTAATAAAAGGATAAATAAAATGTGGTACATCCATACAATGGAATATTATTTGGCTACAAAAAGGAATGAAGTACTGTTACATGCTACAACATGAATGAAGCTGGAAAACATTGTGCTGAGTGAAAGAAACCAGTCACAAAAGACCA